GCACACTAGGGATGGGAGGAAGATGGCACTAAGGGGGAGGGTGGAAAGAAAGAGTAGAGACCACAAAGGGAAAGATGGGGTGGGGGGAGGAAGCGCACTATGGGACTGCGGGGCAGGGAAGAATGCTATGGGACTAGCATACGCTAGTGTGGGTGTGTGCTTGTCCCCGTCCTTCTTTGCCCTTTCTCGTTTCTACATTTCTTAGAGCACTAAGGGTCAAGGGGAGAGCATTAAGAAGGGTCAGGGAGAGGATTAAGGGATGGGGAGTGGGGGTGCACGAAAGGGCAGGAGAGTGCACTTAGGGGATGGGGACAGGGGAGAGCACTAAGGGACAGGGGGCATGGGACAGCACTAAGGAGCAGGGGGCACTAAGGGACAGGGGGCAGGGGAGAGCACTAAGGGACAGGAGAGATCACTAAGGGACAGGGGGCAGGGGAGAGCACTAAGGGACAGGTGGAGAGGGGAGATCGCTTAGGATTGAGAGAGCACTTAGGGATTGTAGATCACTAAGGGATAGGAGGGGATGAGAGAGCACAAAGTGATAGGAGTGGATGAGAGAGCACTAAGGGACAGGAGGGGATAAAAGAGCACTAAGGGACAGGAGGGAAGGGGATAACACTAAGGGACAGGAGGGCAGAGTTCTAAGGGACAGGAGGGGAGACCTCTAAGAGACAGGAGAGAAGAGGAGATGAGACCACTAAGGGACTGGGGAGTGAAAGAGATCATTAAGGGTCTCACACACAGACACCCTGAAACATACAATGCACCCTACACTCACACAGAAACACACCATGCTTCCCTTACACATACAGAAACACACAATACATTCCTTACACATATACAATGCATACCTCACACACACACACACACACACACACAATGCAGCCCTTGCACGCATACACAGACGCACACAATGCATCCCTTACATACAAGAGCACACAATGAATCCCTTACGCACACACACACACACAAATCTGAAGCACTTCGGCACTTCTGTAATTCAGCACTTTGGTTCGGCACTTCCGAAATTCAGCACTTGGGCAATTCGTTAATTTAGCAATTCGGCACTTGGGCAATTCAATTCGGATTGGCACTTCCAAAATTCTGCACTTCCGAAATTTGGCAAATCTGCAATTTGGACATTCAGAAGCATCCAAATGTCTGAATTGCCGAAACTCATCCGAATTTACATTCGAAAGTAAATGAATTGCAGATGTCTATTAATCTCCACTTGGCTCTCAAAATGTTTTTGCTCACTTCTGCCATAACAAAGAGAACTTATATCATTTGCATATTAGACTGATCCCATTCATTTTTTTTTTTTGAATTCTTTATTTATTTCATTTTCGGTTTCAATTCGGTACGGGTTGTGGGTATATAAGAGTAAAAAGGGGATAGGGTATGGGGGAATAGCATGTAACAAAACACACGTTACATTTTCGTTGTTCTAGGTTTTGTTTCGTTTCAGTGAGCACCCAGTCTCAGGTCAACCCCATCATAGCTGATTCCTGTGCTAGAGTGGTCTCGGTCTACCGTCTGTCTATGCTGACCGTTATTTTGGGGCACGTGTGTGGTTGGTGTTAGTGCTGTAGGGCTGTTGGCCTTCTCTTTGCAGGCAAGGCCCTCCCTAGGACATTGGTTGCGTGCAGAGTTTCTGGGTTGTGTGCATACTTGCTGTTAGGCAGGGCCTTTTGTTATTGATTAGCGTGTTCTTAGGTGGTGCCTCTAGTTGTGGTCCCCTGTTGGGGGGTGGTTGGGTGTTCCTCGAGGTTGCAATGCTCTACTGCTCTTTTTGTTGTGCGTCTGTTGCTCTAGGAGTTAGTGTACTAACCAGAGTGGTGGGGAGTGGGCAGGGAGGTAGGAGGGGAAGGAGGGGTTAGGTAAGATGGGCCGGGGGGTTGTGTTCAGTTTTATCAGTGGGTATGATTCAGGTTCAGCACCCCTTTCTATGCCGGATTTGTCTTACTTTGGTTGCCCTCGTTATCGCCATGGGTTCCGGTCATGGCCGCGGGTAGTGTTGAATTGGGGGTTGCTGTCACTAAGGTGCCTTCGCGTGGGCATACGCTAGTGTGGGTGTGTGCTTGTCCCCGTCCTTCTTTGCCCTTTCTCGTTTCTACGTTTCTTAGTCGCCTGTTGAGGGGCCTCGGAGGGGTAGTGTGTGGTCGGGTGTCCCGCCCCGTGTCCGCGCGCCCGCCCCGGCCGAGTCCCTGGAGCCAGTGGGGGAGGGGGGCCCGAGATTGATTTTCCGTGTTGCTGGGCGAAGGGCAGGGAACAGGTTGGGGGGGTGTCATAAGGCTTATGGGGGCTGTGCAGTGTGAGAGATCATGTCGGGTTGGCCTTTGTCTGTTGCTTGCATGCGGTTGAGACCAGTTGCTGTTAGTCTGTAGTGTCAGCGTATGGGTAGCCATCTTAGGTCAGGGTTCGCCCCCCCACGGGCCAAGGAGGGGAGCACCATCCAAGGAGTAGACCCTGAGGGTCTGGTCATATCGGTGGGTGTTTCTATGGGAAAGTCGTGTCCAGGCTCTGGTGGTTGGCATCCCATAGCCTCCACGTCCGGTGAAATGCTGTGTACGAGTCATGTATCTGCGCCGTTAGTTCGTCTAAGTTGCGTGTTTCTTTTATTTTGCGAATGATGGTCGAGATCTCGGGGGTCCGTGGGTCTGCCCAGAGTTCCGCAATTGCCCTGCGCATTGCGAGGGTTATGTGGGCCACCAATTTGTTCTCTTGTTTCATGAGAGTGTACAGTGGTTTGTTGAGGAGCATTGTCCAAGGCTGTGCTATGATGGGTTTTTCCACCACCCGTTCAATCAAGCTCCGCACCTTTGTCCAGATCTGCTTACTTTTGGGGCTCGTCCACCAACAGTGGAGGTACGTGCCCCTCTCTCCGCATAGCTTCCAGCAGTCGTCAGTATTTTTCTTGCCCATTTGGTGCAGTCTGTGTGGTGTCAAGTACCACCGAAAGAGCGTTTTGTAGGCCTGTTCTTTATGCGTTACGCATGTCGTAAGGGAATTTGTCGCGGCCCATATCTTGGCCCAGTCGGTTGGGTTCTCTGGTGGTCCAATGTCTATCTCCCATGCTGTGATGTAAGTGAGGTTGACTAGGGAAACGTGCGTGGTGAGCGTGGTGTAGATGTCTGAAATTTGTCCGCAGCGGAGCGGTGCATCGAAGCATTGTTTTTCGAACGGTGTTAGTGGTGATAGCCCTGCCTGTTTGACCATTGGCTGTTGTGCTAAGTCTCGCAATTGGATGTAGCGGAAGAAGTCCGCTGTGGTCAGGGCATCTGCATTAGGTACTTCAGAGAATTTGACAATGTCTCCCTGTCGGTATAGATGTAGGAGTCTGGAGATGTCTCTCTGGTCAAATGCAGCGAACTGTTTTGCTGTCATACCCAGTGGGAACATTTTATTCCGGTATATCGGTGTCACCGGAGAGAGAAAAGAGGATAGGTCGTACGTGGGGTTGTGTTTGTCCCAAAGGGCTATTGCATGCGTGATTGCTGGAGAGGTAGGAGGCGGTAGGGGTCTGTATTTCGGTGGTACCCAAACGTAAGAAGATGGGAGGTCCCAGCCCATGACATCGTGTTCCAGATGCGCCCATCGTTTGGTACCTGGTGGTATGTGCCATTGCTGGATGTGGGCTAGTTGGGCTGCATGGTAGTATTGCAGAAAGTTAGGAAGCCCCAGTCCACCCATGAGCCTGGGAACATACATCGTTGTTCTACGATTCTGGGTTTCCGGAACTTCCAGACAAATCTGTCCATGGCTGATTGGAGGTGTTTGAAGTCTTGTAGTTGTAGTGGGATTGGCACTGTTTGGAAAAGGTAGAGGAACCTCGGTAGCAGGTTCATTTTGATTGTGGCGACTCTGCCCAACCACGACACGCCCAGTTTATCCCATCTTTGTAGGTCTTGGTGCGCCGTCATTAGTAGTGGCTTGTAGTTTATGTCATAGAAGTCCCCCATGTTAGTAGTTAGTTTGATGCCCAAGTATGTAAGAGAGGTGGTAGTGATGTGGAATGGAAATAGTTGTCTCAAGGGGACAATTTGGGCGTGATTCATTGCTACCGGCATCGCGGTGGATTTTGACAGGTTGATTTTCTATCCCGAAAAGGTGGAGTACTCTGCTATTGAGGCAACTGTAGCCTGGAGGGAGTGGATGGGGTCCGTTAGGGTGAGAAGGACATCGTCCACGTATGCCGCTACCGTGTATGTCTCCCTCCTTATTTGGATTCCCTGGATTCCCGGGTGGATTCGGATGGCCTGTAGGAGCGGTTCCAATGAGATCGCAAACAGGAGGGGAGAAAGGGGGCAGCCCTGTCTGGTCCCGTTCGCGATGGTGAGGTGAGGATTTTTAGGAATCCATCCGGGAATCCCTGGTGCTTCAGCACACTGAACAGGTAAGGCCAGAGGAGGCGATCGAAAGCCTTCTCCGCGTCCAATGAGAGCGCTACCGCCGGGAGTTGCCAATGTTGGGCGTACCAGATAGTGTTGTAGGCCCTCCTCGTGTTGTCGGCCACTTGTCTTTTGGGGATGAAACCGACCTGGTCGGGGTGAATCATGTGGGGCAGGTAGGCGTTGAGGCGGTTGGCTAGCACTTTCGTGATGATTTTCAAATCGGTATTGAGGAGCGATATTGGGCGGTAGTGTCCCGGATCCAGATGTTCCTTGCCTGGTTTGGGTAGGAGGAACACATCGGCAGCGAGCATTTCCGGGGGGAGCGGTTGTCCCTGTAATAGCGAATTAAACATGTTGCATAAGTGTGGAATAAGCGTTGTTTGGAACGTTTTAATAGTATAGTGTTGTGAATCCGTCCGGGCCTGGACTCTTCAGAGGTTTGAGTGTTTTGAGGATGAGCGCGAGTTCGTTTGTGTCGATAGATGCCTCTAATACCTCTTTGGCCCTAGGAGATAGGACTGGCAAGCCCAGGGGTTTCAGAAACGCGGTGATGGATTCCTGCTGTTCCTTTGGGTTTGTGTGGAGGGGGTGTCGTGGTTGTTTAGATTAGTGTAGTAGTACAGAAATTCCACAGCTATTTGTTCCGGATCGCGCATAATTTCTCCAGTTCGGGTCCGTATCTTTGATATAATGTGCGAGAAGGGAGTCGGCTTTGTTGCCTTTCTCATAGAACCTTTGTTTCGTCCACATAAGGTTCTTGGCCACGTCGGTTTTTGACAGCTGTGTGATTCGTTCCCGTGTAGCTGTAATGTGGGCTAGAAGTTGGTCTGACGGGGCCTGCTTGTGGAGCGTTTCCAGCCTTGTCAGTTCTGCCAACGCGGTGGTTAGATTTTTTAGGCGTTGTTGTTTTTGTGACGAGGCTATTGCTATAAGTTTTCCACGAATCACGGCTCTATGGGCTGCCCACACCGTCGCTGGGGCCACATTTTCCTAGGTATTGAGTTCAAAGTATGTTTTGATTTCTTCGTTCACGGTGTATATGGTAGGCTTGTCTCGGAGGATCCACAGGTTGAGATGCCACCGCCACTCGCGTGACAGGCGAGGGATTTGGATGGTCAATGCTACCTCGGCATGGTCAGACCATACAATATTGCCAATGGACGTTTGTACTGTGCAGGGCTGGATGGTCTGCAACGTAAGGAAGCTGTCGATCCTGGAGTATGACCTGTGCGTGTGAGAATAAAAGGTGTAGTTCTTGACCGACGGGTGGTGTGCCCTCCAAACGTCTATGAGAGCTGTATCCTTGAGGAAGTTGGCATAAAGTTTGTCATTTCTAGTCGTGGTCGGTGTTTTATCCGGATATGTCTTGCAGTCCGTGGCTGGGGATTGTGTCGCGTTGACGTCACCTCCGACGATGATGTGTTTGGTGGCTAGGCTAGCGACATGGGCACAGAAGGATTCCCAGAAACAAGGCGTCCTGCGTGTTAAGGGCATATATTGAGCAAACGGTCAGTGTGGTAGTTCCCACTCGGCCCGTGAGGAAAAGAAATCGCCCCTCGGGGTCCTTCATGGTCTGTATCTCATCTAGGGGGCATGAGTTGCGTAGGAGGATGGTGACTCCTTTTGTTTTTGGGGTAGGGGAATTGGCCAGAAAAGAACGTTCGAAGTGTCTATTGGCAAGTGGAAAGTGTTTTTTGTCTGTAAAGTGGGTTTCTTGGAGAAGTATGATGTTGGAGCCGGTGCGGTTGGCCCATCTCAGTATCCCGTGTCGTTTACCCGGCATATTTAAACCATTGACATTGAGGGATGTCCGGCGTAATTAGAGGTTCGGCAGCACCATAGTGGTGCTGCTGTTCATGGGTGCAAAAGTGAGGGGAAGGGAATTTGTACAGTGCGTTAGCTCCTGGGGGGGAAGTGTAGTCGGTATCCACTACCGACAGGTGCGCGCTAGCCGTATGTGGGTATGGTGTGCGCAGGGAGGATGGGGAGCCGCTTGGGACAACTCGGCCAGTGCGGATGGGACAGCCCTCGGTGGCGGTTCCCTAGGGTAGGGTAGAGGTGAACTGGGCTTATCAATCTGGCCAGTTGCCAGTTGGGCGGGGGACACCTCCCCCTGTTCGGGTGTCTGTATAGCGGTCCCGCAGGAGATGAGTGTGTCACTGGAGATGTGTACAAGTCGTGGCGCGGCTTGCCCAAAGCTGCCTGACGACGAGCTATGATGGCTGAGCCGTGTGTGGTGTTGGGGGATGTGGAAGGGAAATGGATCCCCGGGTAAGAAGACCTGGAGCATATGACGCTCCCATAGTGGAATTCTGTTCCCTTTTGGGTCCAGCTGGAGCGTCAAATTTCGTTCCTTCTGTCTTGACTTAATTGCTACTAGAAACTAAGTGTAACGCTAATGTGAGCAACGGCTGTAACTGAACTTTGCTGCAACTGTGCAGTCATGTTATTAGTGGCGCATCTCACCCCAGCTAGGTGTGTAAGGGTCGGGAAGGTGCAGATGATCCCATTCATAAGGGCAGTCCAAATTTGCAATGCATTACTTCCTCTGTCTAAGTTAAAAGGGTAATCCAGATGTGGATCTCATGCTCATTGTGCCTAGAGTTGTATTAACTACACCTTGCTGACAAGGCCCAAAGAAGGCTGAAGCAATTGTCTGGGGTTGCTGTATCTCTTGTGCAAAGGGAACTTACCAGCATATCAGTTCTGGACTGCCCTTGTAGGCAGGATCAGTCTGATATCCAAATAGTATAGGTTCTCTTTGTAATGGCAAAAATTAGCAAAACATGTTTTGTAGACTTGAGTTGGAACTAACCAAATGGCGAGCTCCTAAGGTTTCTCTGAGATGTTGCCTGTTCTCAAAGCTCTTGTATTTTCTGTTTCTAAATAAACATGCTCAACCTCTATAGATACCATTAAGGATATCTTTATGGGGGGTTTATGAATCTTGAACCTACTTGAGTTTTAAATATATCAGACACCTCATTAAAATAAATCCTAGAAATCTGTAATATCTTGATCCTTCTGACTATTTTGTTTGAATTTTTCTTGTTAGAATTCTTGTTATAATTTGCATGACTAACACTGTCTGTGAAACATCATGTTCCATTATATATCTGTTTTTAAAATGATTAAATCATAGACACTGCTTTAAAATTGTCTTTGATATACCAAGTTGCATGTACAATTCCGAGTAAAAACAAGTTTTTCCGTACTAAATATTCTATAGCATTTGGAATTCTACTCAACAAAAGGCATTCAGTTATTTTTAACCACATTTTATCAATGCCTCAGGCCTACGATATTTCAGATCATTCTTGTTCCTCTTTATACATTACCACTAACACGTTTCTTTCATTGTGTTGGAAAATGGATTTATCTCAAAAATGTTCTTGTTTAAAAACCACATCCGATCCTCTCTCAAACTACAGATTACACACCTGCTTACAATCTATTACACATTTTATTCTTTGTAAACTGCCAGCTAGTTATGCAGCCTTTTTTACATACATTGTTATGGACAAAATACTTGAATGGATAAAATGTCTATTTACTAATGTCTATTTATTCTGTATTCACTGTGTAAAACTGTCTGCTAGAGTAAAAGCTTCCCTCCCCCCTCTCTGTGTGCTCAGTAACTATTTCCTCTGTAAATTCCTCCCATCCTGCTACCCTCCCCCCTTCCCATCGAGCAAGCCTCGTGTAACAAATTCCTGTGTTAAAGGAACAGCTTCCTTTGCTAACTCCTCCCACATTTCCTTTGTGCAACGAAAAGCTTTCTATAGAAACATGCCATGTGTAGTAAAATGGAGCTGGAATGGGGCTGGTATACAAAGAAATGTCATGTGATGATGTTGGGGTAACGCCCAGTAGGGCGGGTTTAGACAAGACCCCTTAGACTGTTAACCAATTGATGAATGTATACTTTATGTTAACTGTGACTCTGTACATGACGTATTTCTGCTTTAAAAGGGAATTGCACCCCCTGAAATAAAGGCCATTCTGGAGTTCTTCATAAACCTGCAATGTGTCCGGTGTGATTTACTTCTACAAGACATGCGCACAATCAATTTAGAAAGGAGTAGATAGACAAATAATCAAACTCTTGATTTGATCCAAGTCAACATCACTTTCTGGTCAATCGATGTCTCCAATTTCAATTCTGCTTTCAACTGTTCTTAAATTGTGGTTCCAAATAACTCTCTCTTATCTGCGTTCAAAGTTTTTAAGTCCATAAAATATATCTTTTACCATTAAACATGATAAAAATCTGTAATATCTTTTTTCCTCTCACTAGTTCTTAGAAAGTAAGAGAAAAAAATGTATAGATTGTGTAAATCATTTTTATTATTTCGGTATGGCAAACAGATGTTTTAGGTTAACTTTATATATTTTCTACTCTTCCCATATTTAAAATAAATGTGAAAGTATATATTTTTTAATAAATGTGTATACTTTTCTCCAAAATAAATTATTAAATTATTGAGAAAAATATTGAAAATGCATTCAAATCACATATGAATGAGATACACTTTACAATAATTTAAAAAATGAAAATGACAAAGTATTTATGCAATAAATTCAAAATTGCAGTTAAAATATTCTGGTGATCACAAATAAATGTTCTTCATAAAATGGGTTATGGGTTATTGGAATATGTCAAGATAAATGTGATAGAATACACACTGTTTATACAGATGTTTACTTTATTATTAAAAAAAAGCAAAAAATTATAGTTTCACAAAAAAAATGAAAAAAAAATTAATAAAAACAAATGCGGTACATAAACAAGAGGACATAGTCTTAAATTAGAGGGACAAAGGTTTAAAAATAATATCAGGAAGTATTACTTTACTGAGAGGGTAGTGGATGCATGGAATAGCCTTCCAGCTGAAGTGGTAGAGGTTAAAGCACCACTATAATGCCAGGAAAACATACTCGTTTTCCTGGCACTATAGTGCCCTGAGGGTGCCCCCACCCTCAGGGTACCCCTCCCGCCTGGCTCTGGGGAGAGGAAGGGGTTAAACTTACCTCTTTCTCCATCGCCGGGCAGGGGACTCTCCTCCTCCTCTCCTCTCCTCCCTCTTCTCCTCCTCTTCGGCTGAATGCGCATGCGCGGCAAGAGCCGCGCGCGCATTCAGCCAGTCCATAGGAAAGCATTCACAATGCTTTCCTATGGACGCTGGCGTCTTCTCACTGTGAAAATCACAGTGAAACTGCTATGTTTATAAAAAAAAAAGGGTTAACCCTAGCTGGACCTGGCACCCAGACCACTTCAATAAGCTGAAGTGGTCTGGGTGCCTATAGTGGTCCTTTAACACAGTAAAGGAGTTTAAGCATGCGTGGGATAGACATAAGGCTATCCTAACTATAAGATAAGGCCAGGGATTAATGAAAGTATTTAGAAAATTGGGCAGACTAGATGGGCCGAATGGTTCTTATCTGCCGTCACATTCTATGTTTCTATGTTTAAACAAGAAAGAGATACATCAATTCAGCAGCAGCTTGTGGGATGCTCTTATTGATCAATGTCCTTAAGCAGAAGGCAAGCAAACATTTTAATTTGTACATTTCTAGAGAACACACATTTTACTAAACTAAAAGATGGAGAAAAATAAGGGATATGTGGTTTATAAATACTTATTTCGTTTAGCAATCAATGGAGGGCACAAAGATGATAAGTCACTAAGTGGTGATAAACTCTTACTCTGTACTTACTAAGTATTGGACAGAGCTCAACTTTCAAAATATTGCAAATACTTTGGGTTACATTATATTCCTAATTTTGGGGAAGCAGAGTGCTTTGAATTAAAGGGACACTCCAGAACCCTATGTTCTTATGTAATAAGAGTGTGTCCTCATTTTTCATTTTAAAAAAAGTGCAAATTGGTATTTTCATAAATTAACTTTGTTTACACCCCGTGGCAGACAACCTGTCCTGTTAGTTTCAGATTGTTTAGATCAGTGGAGCTACATTTAAGTGAGTGCAATTGCCCAGGGCACCTGCCTTGCAAAGACCTATCATTGAACAGCATTAGAAAGTCTGTAATTGGACAGCCACAGAAAATCTGAGCTTGGTAAGAAGGGAAGGGCTTGTAAAGATTGCAGACAAGAGATCTGCAGCTTTCGCAAGCTATTTTTAGATATACCTAATGGAAATATGCATAATTAATTAAATGCATGCACATTTCCATTGGTGTATATATACTAAACAGTGATTTTTATTTTAGTTATATTCGAGCTGTGGAGTGTCCTTTTATATAAGCATGATTGGACATCCAACAGCCTCTTATTGTTTGATTAATATATGAGCTTCAATTACTGGCATATAAGCAGTACTGAATTTGCTCTTAATGCTAATATTTAAATTCCAAGATATAGTTGAATACTGTATTAATAATGATAAATTACTCATATAGACACAATAGACTTTGGGGCCTATTTGAATGAGTAACCTCTGGCAAACACACAATTACCTAATGGGCACTATTCCC